TGAAACGCGTTGGGTTTCAGTACAAGAGGGTGGCCCGAGCTCCCTTGATTTTAGGCTGCAGCACGCACACGGCTGACATTGATTTTCCACTACTACTCCAGACTCTCATCTCATCCAACGATCATCATCTGTGTGATCTCTCTCTCTCTCTCTCTCTCTCTCTCGTTGTTCCTCTCGCGCTCTCACAGCCTCCGAATCCTACTAACCCTTCTATATCTTCCGTTCTATATCTTCCGACAGTCCACCCCCCGGTCCCAGGTTGGCGCCACCAGACACCAAATGGGTCAAGGCTGTCAGTCCCTGAAGTCTTCGTTTTTTCTCACCGTAGCGCGGACATCGATGACTTTTCATTTAAGATGAAGAAAAAATCGAAATGACTTTTGGTAACTCTTTTCATGGTCGAGATTTGCAAAAATTCAGTAACCGTTAATATTTTTTTAAAATTCATATGCATTTCCTATATTTTAATTTCATTTTTTTTCCTCGTTACTCATTTGTCATATACATATTTGCTTTTTACTTGGAACGACCATTTTCTTTCGTAGGAAATCTTTTTTTTTTCTTTATCGACTTTTCATCGCTATTAGTGAACTCCTTTATCGGCCGAGATCCCTACGTTATCATAGACGCATGGTGCAGATCGTGTTATCGACCGAGCTGGAATTCTATGTCGGAGGTTGCGGTAGGGCCGTATCCGAGTTTCGTTATGTTATTCATTCGTTTGTTGGCTGCTTCAGTCAGCTGAGAAGGAAAAAAAGGGTCGGTCTCTTGCTTGGTGTAGTGGGAGAGCGGGAGAGGGGAGGGACCTTGCTGGCTTGTTCCACCATTTCGTAACGTAACCTTCTCGGTCTTCCCCAACCGCCCATCGTCACCTTCTCCTAGTCTCCCTTCCCCGTCCTTCTCTTTTTATATTCGAGATCTACGTACCCAAGAACCTTCTCCCTACTCCGGAAGCCCTTCGCATAAACAGATGCGTACGAGATACGTCGAAGGGACTATGGTGCACGGTCCGAAATTAGAACGTTCGAAGGCTCCACTACTCAATCGTGACCTTCGTGGCGTTACTATTTTTCACAGGCACCTACGACGTAGTAATCTACGATTAGCCTCCGGTGATGATTTTCAAATGGCGAACAAAGAAAAATATCCTGCAGAAGCTCAATGTTTATTAAAATTATCGAAATTTTTTTTTCGGATCTGATTGATATGTCAAAGGTCGATGTTTCAAAAACAACAGTAATTTCCGTAGATGACGTCGATTTCCGGAAAGATTTTTTGGACTTTCGGGAGAACTGTCAAAATTGTGATTTTGCACCTTTTTTTACTCGGCGTTTACTTTAACCACGACTTTTCGCTTTTCCGCGAAACGAAACAAGGCGTCCTTCCTGGTACTGCGACCATGTGTGTGTCTCGTGCGATCTATCGCCGCCTTCGTAGCTCTCAGTCCGTCTCCACGGGTTCCTGTGACGGGGCCCTCCTTTGTCCAGCGACGGTCCTTTGTGAATTTCATAGTCAGCTGCACGAAACCGAAGACCGCGGCCCTATTATTTGCTTCTAGGACAACCGGCTCTATTTTTAGGCGGAATCCAACGAAAATCTAGTGGTTGTCTCTACAGTCATATATATATATACACACATAAAATAACTATTTACCAAGCTCGCAAACGCAGAGGCTCACGTACACGCTTATGTATATTTATACTGCATATGCCTTCCAATAAGCGACGTATAGTACGTTCGCGATAAGTTTCGTTGAAAGAAATAAAAATTTTGCTTTCTAACGAAAAAACCTATTATTATTGCTAAAGTCACAAAGATCATAAACAAAACTATTATGACGTTTTTGAGTGCGTGACACGGTCTTAAATCTCGATATATATATATATATATATATATATGCTCGAATGATATCTTTATCTAAATAGACACTCCTTTCGAGACCCAAAAGCTCATTCACACTGTCTGGATATTTTTTTATCACAGAAATTGCGACCGAAAAATTCGTAAACGGCGGGAAATTCAAATATAGTGGTTGCAACGACAGTTTTAACAAAGGCACGTGTTATTTGGGAGACCTTGGGTCCAAGAAGTACGATACGGCCGGGCGTTGTGAGGGCACCCTAAGGCGATGACTTAATCGAGTTAGAGGGAAGTGAATTGGTTAGCGTTCAGAGGATGACCTTGCACGCGCCATGACGACCAGAAGGCATTGGCCTAATGCTGCCGACAGCGATACGCTGCTGTGAATTTTGTTTTGCTTCGCGAGTCGAAATTGGTGGTGGTAAAGGAGCTACCACGCGGGCGAGAGGCGTTCGTGATACCAGGAAGGCTTTGACTGTGGACAAAGGCCTAATGGCAATGAAGCATACGTCATCGCTTTGCCTCGTGGGCCAATGGACCGTGTTTCGTGCATTGCCTTATGCAACGTAGCCACCTTGAGAGAAAGGGAAGACAAAAGGGACGGAAAAAAAAAAAATAAATAAAAGAGGAACACCGATAGCCGTTGAAATTTAAAATGAGAGATTTACGAAATTTTAATTTTTCATCCTATTGCCGTGCTACTTTTTTTTGCGACTTTGGAACGTTTTATGTTCATCCACACCGATAGGATACGTGACGATCGTTATCTCGTTTTTTTTATTTTGAAATTTGACTTTTTTTTTTTGCTCATTGTACACTTTCTAAGGCCTTAAATTTTATTCCCATTAAATCGACGGCGCAACATGTATTTCTGCCAATTGCGAAATCTCCTATAATGGTCAGAGCCGGGCAGCAGCTTTCTATCGCGTGCTCATCCGCGTAGATTCGTTTCTAATGATTCGTTCCGTTAGGCTAGAACGCTAAAGTTCTTCGTAAATGCTTATAATGGCAACACATGCCGTTTTTATGAGGTATTAATATATCGTGATGACACGATTGATACCGAAAAGCGCATATGGTACTCGGACTGTAATTTTATTAAGGAAATACAAATTTTTTTTTTACCATTTTTAAATCGAATCTATATAATTATCTTAAGAAATTATTTTTTTTTTAATTCAAATTATTTTTATTAATATAGCATTATTTCGAGTCTTAAACGACGTGTTGCTGATTGTGATTTAATGTAAAAATTTTTTTTTGTTTCATAGGTAAAAAGCTTAAGTGTCCCTTTTGCGAACGACTGTACGGCTATGAGACGAATCTACGGGCTCACATAAGACAACGTCATCAGGGCATAAGAGTACCGTGTCCATTCTGTGCGAGGACCTTCACAAGGAACAACACGGTACGACGGCACATTGCGCGAGAGCATAAAGCCGAGATGAATCTGAAGGCATTTCAGCAAGCAAATCACTCGCTAACCGATACGGTGCCGCAGTAACAAGGCTTGCGAGGGAGCCACAGTACCAAAATCAACTTTTAGCGGCTACTAAAGTTACCTGCGAGTAGCGAGATGCGCCCTCTACATCCTCCGATCGTTTCCCCTACTCCCCCCACTCCTTGGACCCAAGCTACTCCCCACCAGTGACCCCCGTTATCGCCATCGGCCAATCAGCGCCCACCGCCCCGCACCGAGCTCACCCGAGGACGCCCGAACGACGCGCCTCGGGCAGCTTCGGGTCTGCCGAGGACGCACGAGGACGCGCGAAGAAGTTATTCGTGCTGAGGTCACGTGACCCGTCAGGGAATCACGTGAACGTCACCGTAAAGAGATACCTGCAGGAAGTGGACGCGTGTCGCGTCAGCTCCTTAGTTACGTTTAAGCGTTAAGGACGTTGCTTAAGGAACGTGTGTCTGTAAATTGTAGAGGGTGCGCGAGAGACGCGCGATGAACGGATATCTGACGATTTTCGAATTATGTTTTACTTTGCATATTAATTCCTTTTTTAACCCTCGTAAAGAAAATCGACAACTGGGAAAAACGATGTTTATTTCTTTTTTTTTTTTTGAAAATCCAATTTGGATTTTACACAATTTTCTTCTTACACGATTACTCCGATAAGAGGATGTAGCGTCTTTGAATTCGAAACATGAAAATTAATTGTTCCCTCTGAAACAATGGAAGAAAAAGAAAATTTATCAAAAAATTTTTATAGGCCAACAAAAATATTCACGATACGTTTGACACCCTACAGACAGTCTCGAAGACGTGCATTTTATTTCGTAATATGACCAAGAGTCCTCGAAATTTTTTTTTTCGATATTACCTATCCCCCCTCAGAAATCCGTTCTACGCGTTCTTCAACGTCCCCCGTGTAAAGCGTCGTACGTCGAATGCGCTTATAAGAAGAAACGGATAGGAATGAAAAGCAAAAAAAAATAGCCCAGTTCATAGAGAAAGCGTATGAATACTCGAGGGACAGGAGGAAAGGAACAAAAGAAAAAGTATCAATTAATAATACAGTTCGAAATGGATAATCGACGCCGGAGCGCCTACGCGGGTTGGTTTAAGTGACGCGAGACGCTGCGACGCCCGAGACACACAAGCTATACAAATCACAAAACTAGTCAATGAAAGTGCAACGGTCAAGTAAGGATTTATTAACTATACTATAAAAGAAACAAAAAAAAAAAGAAAGAAAGAAGTCGAATCATAGCGGGTAAACGGCGAATAACAAAGAGAGACAAAACGACAACAAAAATCACACACACACACACACACACACACTCTTATTAACGAGAACAAAAGTTGCAACAAAAGTAATGCAAATTAAAAAAAAAACACACACAACTCAGGTATAATTAGTGAAAGCGAGTAAAAAGCCTGACTATCCGATTGGTGCTTGTCGTGGACCCAATTTTTGGATGCCAGTTGTGATTTACTCGCTTACTCTAAAAAAAATGATATACGTACTGCGATATATAACGCTACAAACTACGTTAAAGAGAACCACTACCACTGCTACTGTCATCACTATTACTACTACTGCTGCTAACTATTACTATCATTATACTATTACTACGTCACTGTCCCCTATACCATTACGTACTATGACACTACTACGTAAAGCTACCACTTCTATTTTCTATCTTCTATTATTCCACTACTACTAAGTACTATCGCTACTACTAACTTCTACTATTACTATTACCGCTACTATACGGTTAAACAGAAGAGCCCTAGGGTCGAATCTGCAGTTGACCAGACGATTTCTTAATCGTAGGTATTTAAGTTCTATCACGTACAGTGCCAAAATCTAAAATTTTCAAACTGGGCTTCGCGCGTTGCCCATCAACTTTTTTATACCGATTAAATACAGCCTTTTCATTTTCTATAACGGTTTACGAGACTAATACGATGCTAGGATGTAACCAAGTACCTTACAATAAACCATAAGTACCAGTTTGCGCTGTATGCACTTAGGTCGCGAAGATCCGGTGCCTCGATTGTTCTAGAATGTTCGCTGACCTTCGACCTTCAATACCGTAGTTACGTAATCGAGAAATAGGGTCGAGTATCGCACGAGGGTAACGTTCGAACGATTTTTCAGCCGGTGTATAGCAATAATAATAATATAATAATAATCATGCATCTACGAGACCTGACCGAGTCCATTTCGAAAAACATTGATAGTTCTTATCGGTGAAAAAAAAATAATATAATACACCGAATACGCACAAACCAAGGGGAAACCTTAACGATGACCAATCGATGGCACCCGTGATTATTTCATTGAGACCGGAAAGTGCATCCGCAAAATTCAAGCAGAACAATCGATACCACTTTGTTACCTATTTACAATGTTTAAATACGATGGACTTTTGTCCTGAGCAATAGTCGCGTTAGCGAGATGAGAATAATAGATGAAACGGATACAGATGATTAATACATAGTACATAATTGTGAAATAGCGAACTGATTTACAAAAGGTAATACGACACGAGGCAGATTTTAAAAAAGTGACAGATGGAGCGTGGGGGGAAAGATTAATAAAGAATACGCAGAATCGATAAACAATAGATAACGTTTTTACGAATTTCACATATAGTTAGATACTCCTAGTCAGGGTGGCACCACGATATTACTTGTTGCAGTATTTACAGTTTTTACAGATTTTCAGTTTTTTTTGTTACAGAAAAGAAAGAGGAAAGGAAAAGTTTAAAGAGTTACCTCACAACGATATGCCTATCGATAAGTTATATCAAAGACAATAGATGATAGATGATTATTTAATGTTTAATCGAAGCGCCGACGTACGTGAAAATGTAGGGGGCGGCAGGGGGGAGGTTACAAAAAATTTTTTGAGACCTTTGCGTACACACACACACATACATGTACCCATAAGAGTGTATTTCATGGTTCAGACCAACTGAATGGGGTTTTTTTTTTTGGTGGTAATATATTGCTACGTCACCGTACGAATTAATCGCACTTATCACACCTATCGATAAGCACTATATACACGTTATACGGATACAGTGAAAAATATAGATATACAAAGTCAAAGCGTGCATACTCATACGTGTATCGTAATTAATATGCCACTGTACGCGCAGATCTGCCAAAAGTATGGAAAATAATAATAATAATGCTACCTCAAGATTTTTTAAATCGTGACAGGGAAGAAAATCGCGATATAGCGTAATGATACTGGTTACTTGTAGTCTGGTTGGTAACGGGGTAGTTCTCCTTGTACCGGTGACCGCGTTCTTGTTCGTTTTGAAAATCTCGAGTACGATGAAAGAAGATAAGAAATGTATAATTTCCAAGATGAGAAAAAGAGATGTATCGTTGATTATAAATATTTTTGAAAATTGCGCAATTGAAAAAAAAAAGTCAAAATTTTCTAATTCGTTTTTGGCAATTCTTCTTTTTTTTTTTCTTGCAACAGGCACGCTTTTTCTTTACTGGTGATTTTTTCAAAATTTACAAAAAATCGATTTTCGAGATTTCCAGCGAACACGCGATCCGTTATATCTACGTAATAAAAATAGGTCCGTTTTTTACCGAAACTTATCATAACAGATGATACATAATATATATATTCATACAAAATATATTAAATATATATAACATATATAAATATAAATCTATATTGCAAAACGAAAGAAATAAAATAGATGCAGAAAGAGTTAGATACGTCGAAGCTTAAAAATTCGATTTGACACGGCAAAAGTTTTTTTTATTATCTCTGTTTTCCGTTTAATTTGCGTTTTTAACGCATAAACATAAATCGAGATTGAAAGTCAGTATATCGTGATCGGTAACGTTACGCAATTATCACATGCACGCGTATACATTATAAATGTACACTTTTATAGATACGCGGACATAAAAACAGACACAACGTGCACACACGTCCAAAATACATACCCGCTGACGCAAAAGTAAGCAAGAGGATGCAATTCGGGGCGATGACGCATTCACGGTGGGTGAAGATAAGGAATGAAAAAAAAAGAAAATTGCAAGAATTGATTGTAAAAAAATGGGGCAGGAGGGAAATTTTTGTTTGAGCGAATTTGGGAGAGGGGGATTTCAGAGGGGGTGGGACGGCTGATCATGGAAGGGATGGACGGGAGGCTGCGATCAAAGATAGCGGTATCGTGGTCAGAGGAAAGAAAAAAAAAATACCGAACTTACCAAGTGGAAAAGGGTGAAAAATAAAAAGATAAAGAGATAACCGATTAACAACCGAAATATATATATATACACATATATATATATATATATATATATATGGGTTGTAAATGGCGTTAACGAGGTGCCACGTAGGGTTCGGGTTAATGGGACACGTACTACAGGCAAGGCATATTATATATTACAAAAAAAAATATATAGATATATGTAAATAGTTACGACATGTATGTAAAGTAAAAAGGAATTAATAATTGAATATTTTTTTTGCGGCTCCTCTGCTGAGCAGAGAACGGTCTCGAGTACGAGCGAACGAAAGCAGTGAATATAGGATTAGGTTTAATATACCGACCCCCGCCATGCGATGGTTTGTTTTTTTTTTTTCCCCGAAAGAGGGGACAGAAAAAAGTTAAGGACGAAAGGTACGAGAAACCGAATGAAGAAGCGAAGAGAATAATGATAGGCACACGTGGGAAATGACGGAGCGTGAAAAGTCGAAGATATAAAAAAAAATGATCGATATCTGTTTTTTGAAGGTGAAGGATGATTTTGGGGAGAAAAGGGGGGGGGAATTAAGAGGGCCGAAGCCAATTTTTTTGCTAATATTGTTTTAGCTAAGAGCATACGAACTCACACACACACACACACGCGCGCGCGCGCGCGCGCATACACTCACATACATGGAACAGTAAAATTTACGTGTATCAACCAAAAAAACACACACGGTCGTATATGGAGGTTAACAGTGGAAGAGGGTGTTTGAGAAAGTGAAGAATATGCGAGGGAAGTACCTAGATAATAGATGTAAAATTATTACGAAAAGAAAACAACAAAAAAAGTAAAATTTATATTAGTTGTACTGCGGGGGAGAACGTGCGAAAAAAAAATGTCATTGAGTTTTGCGGACGAATTGGTATGTGCGTGTGATAGAGTGTGCGAAAAAAAAAGCGTTTTTTTTTTGTAAGTGTGTTTTTTGTGATTGCGCGTGTGTGTACGCGCGAGAGAAGACGAGAAGGCGTCATTTGTAATTATGTAAAATGTATGTGAAAGGACCGATGGCAGCGCCGTGGTGAGAGAATCGCGCGTTATTCTCTCGTCTACTATCTTCATTTACTTATCCACGTTTTCGGCGCGTTTCAATTTACTTCGATTTGACACCTGTCATTTTCCAACGAAAGAAAAAAATAACGCTCAAGCAGCCACGTGGTACGTACGTCAAGTAATACGTCATACGTCGCGCATGCGCGGTCGAGTACACTTACCGAAACGACCCGAACCTTACCGAAAGGGCACGTTCGGTTTCCGGTTAGTTCTGTTTCTCTTATTCTTCTCCGTCTGCTTTCTTTTCCCCTCGGCCAAAATTTCTTTTTACGTTTTTCTTTTTTCTTCATCTTTTTGTTCTTAAAAATCATCGACATCAGGGCACGCGGGTGGGTCCCACTGACATCTTTAATAATTGATATCGAAGGAAAATCCAATAACAATGACGAACATTACGTAAGCGTTCAAAGACCGATACACGTGTTTGTCTGAATTTTGAATTTTCGCGGTACTCGACGTCTGTGTTCAAGACCCCCAAGACACTCGGCGCGACCCTGTTGTCGGTGTAAAGATACTTTATAAATATATATATAAATTTATATATATATATATACATACACGATATATATATATAATTATTGTACTACGCAGTAGGATAATATGTTGCATGTTGTTTATATATTATGTGTTTATGGATTCTAAATCCTTTGTAGATGTCGTGTGTGACACAGCGTGGCAAAGTGTTCGCGTCGCAAGCCGGGCGCGCATGCGTACATCCATCTTGCGCGTACCGCGCAAGGGGGATGATGACGTCAGGCGAGCAGGATGCGCGCGACGGTACAAGAATTTTAAATGAAAACAAAACCCTCCTCTACTGTAACGATACGCATCACACAGGTTATCTACTGTGAAAGAGAGAGAGAGAGAGAGAGAGAGAGAGAGAGAGAGAGAGAGAGAAGCTAATAATTCGATGTCATCACTGTATCTACACGCAACACGGATGTGAGAGAGAGCGCACCCACAAAACACTCTATACCGTTTAAGTGTATAGCTAATAATGTAACTGGAATCATAACGAAGAAATACGTAAGCGATTACGTAGGAGACGTTAGTGCGCATGCGCGGCGGCCATGTTTATTAAGTGGCGCATGCGCCGGAGTGACACGCACGCAACGCGGGGCGGATGGCGCAGCGGGCGGCGAGCGGTGCGACAGGCCGCGATTTATAGTACAAAATAAACTTAACGTTAATGAAATAAAAGGTGTAACGATAAACGACGATTAAGAAAAGAAAAGAAAAAAAAAAGAAGAAAAAAAGAGAATACAAAGAAAACACAACTGTGAAGTTTTGTAACTCGATTAACGCTACATACGCGTCATGGACTTTATTACGATTCGCGTTCGGGCAGTCATGGCTGCCAACAAAGATGGCTGCCTCGACATTGCGCGTACGTTAATCCAACGGATTCACGTTTGTGTCGCGGTTCTCGCGTGAATCGGCGCATTGGAAATTCTTCGATTTTACGTATGACGGCCATTTGACGTTTCACAATAATAATCACAGTATTTCGTCACACTAGTACAAATGCTACCTCACACACGATAATACAGGGTGCACCCGGATGCTTACGATTCTATTACTCTTCGCCGCGTACGACGCACTAAAGGGTGAAGTATACGCGAATCTTACTGGAACGCCAATTTTTATGTCTCACCAAGTATAATAGACATTGTTAACGTACGTTAGGAACGATACACGTCGAATAACGGGAAGTCGCTAGATGCAAGGAAATATGAAAAAAAAAAAAAATTGTCACTTTATTTGTTTTCACCCTTTTTTTTTAAATCTCTTATCGAGTGAATGGCGGGAACCATTGAGTTTAATCTCGGTTCACCTTTTGCCGTCACTGATCATTTTCATCGTCACCGTCATTGCCAAAACTTTTCACCGTCATTATATTCATCACCGACAAGTCCTTTCTCTCTCAGGTATAGGAAAATCAAGTACAAACTACAAAATATAATAGTCGATAAGTGTAACATACAATAATCAAACGATGCAATAGTTTTTTTTTTTTGAATCTATAATAGAAAATACGACTTTTGAGTCGCCCTGATGATGCTGGCGCGATTACGTCCACTTATTTACCAAGACGATAGTAGATACAGTGAAGAAAAACGGCTGCGTACGATTACAAAGTTGAGAACGTTGTTGAAAGAAAAAAATATATATATATATATAGTACACGACCAGCGTTAACGACAGAATCTCCTTGCGTCTATTGAATTGACATTTTTTTACCACATATATATATACATAATTTCTCACCTCTAACAATTTTTTTTTTAATTTCTAAATACATATATATAAAAAAAATAAGACATTTCCCATAATTAAAAATGCCTAATTCTTAAATTTCTCGAAATTCCGCTTCGTTTCTCTTTTTTCACCCTTGCTCTTCTTCTCCTCGTATTTTTTTTACTAATACAAAAAAAAAAAAAGAAAACATTTCTATCATCACCGCATCATTTTTGAAACGTAACTGACCTTTCAACGATGGTCGAATCGCCCCGTACGAAATTCAGTGCTCAAAGAACGTGACGAACCCTGAAAGTCGCATTAGACGTAAAACGTAGCGTAACGCCACTATATATTACATTAATGAAAATAAAGGGGAAAAAAATACATTACAAACAAATACCGCCTCTACCTCAGAAATCCACGTACACGTACATGAGCACGATACGTAGTCCCATTGTTCTTATTGTAATCAGCATCTAAAGGCAAAAAGCGACATCTCGGAAATACGACATACGAGCCCACGAAGTATTATTTTGTAATCGATTATACACAATTACGGCGAACCGTATATACGTAAGCGCGTAATATTGTAAGGGCATCCCCCTCTCCCGTCCTTCGGTCCAAAAGAAAGAAAAAAAAAGAAAAAAAAGTCCCAGCAAATTTCACCATAGAATTTTCCTTAGAGCAGATTGCCCCATCCAATACCTGAATATGGATTCCTATGACGAATCACCCTGGTATCCCCCCTCCTTCCCTTCACGACACCCCCCCCCTCCCCCGTCACCCCAAGTATGTAAATACACCAGTTTAATATTTATTTATTTATGTTTCTATGCGCTGGACGCGTCCATGTTACACGTAATCGCAGATTAATTAACGATGTTCCCCCTATTGAATAGCGAAGAGTACATTCATCCTTATATTAAAATATTCTTGTTAGAATCTAAGAGCCCCGAACCGTCGCGGTTCCGCGTTGCTGCGTGAAATTTATATATATATATGTTTTTCTTTCTTTTTCTTTTTTTTTTTCTTTTCTTCGTGAAATGCGTCACAGAATTTCCGATGGTACGTTACGAGGTAACGAGCTTTCTTTTGTCCCTCCGTACATTCGTCGTGGAGCGTGTACAATTTTTGGGTTTCGCGAATGATTTTTTTTTTGGTTTGAAATTATGAAATTTTTTTTTTACCGTACCGTATTGTGTTTTACGTTATATTTTCTATTTTATTATATATATATATATTTGTTAAAAGAATTCTTTTTCACGGTTTACAACGGGTCAGTCATCCGAGGAATGTACGGTGGGAGAATCATGCAATTTGTATACTAAGAAGTGGTTACCAATTTTCTTTAATTAGAGACCGTAAGTTCACGTTAACGTTAAACAGTAACATTATATTAAAAAAAAAAGTGGTGGATAAAATTCGTGAGTTATCCTGAGGAAGTATAAGAAACAAAAAATGGATATAAGAATTATTTGCTAAGGGATGGAATCAGTGTATGAGAGAGAGAGAGAGAGAGAGAGAGAGAGAGAGAGAGAGAGAGAGAGAGAGCGAGGGTCTTAACAGGCCGTGAAAAAGTGCGAAACGTTAAAAAAAAAATTTCAATCCTACGTACAAAAATGCGTCGCCTACGTCACCGTGGTGACGACAGAGAAAAAAATGCTGGGATAATTGGATATTTTTTTTAAAATTTCTTCACAACGAACATTTTTAAGTGTAAACGAGAAAACTGTAACAATTTCTTAAATGGGAACGAGTGAGTGTGTGTGAAAGAGAGGGTGAAAAGAGAAAAACAAGAAAAACTGAGAGTGTTCTTTGTTTTCGTTTCTTGAACGTGTCGCCAGATGGCACTGTAGCGCTGCGACGCACCCTCGAGTGTAACTCACCACTTCTTTTTTTTTTGTTTGTATAAAAATTAATCGAAATTTACGTAGACTATTAATAACTGTTTAATTATTGTAAGACCAGAAAGAAAAAAAAAACTTTACCATTAACTATAAATTACTAAAAATTTAATTTCGTCCATGTCTTATCGTTTCATTCAGTCGTGTCCTTTTAATTTTTATTTATCGACTTGCGACTTGGTTTCTTCGTCTTTCTTCTTCTATCGATGTTTCCCGTGTCGCGAGTTATTACTGTTATCGATACACGCATCACAGTACAATCCACGTACAAATTTAATCGTAACTGTGACCTGACGAACACACATTTATTAATCGTATTCGCAAGATTCCTCGTGTGCACGGTCCAAAATTTTGTAAATTCATCGTTTTTCGACGATTTCGCATTTCTCATTGCGAATGAAATGAATGTCAATGAAATTTGCCACGTAAATTTTGAAAAAAGTTGAGAAAAAGAAAAAATATTTCACATTTTTTTTTCTTTTTCAGTGACAGATCAATAATTTTCAAATTTTTGGAACTTTTCTTTGGTAGGTATATATATATATATTTTTTTTTTCGCTGATAACAATGGTACAAACAATAGTACGCTTTACTCGATTACGAAATAAATACAGAAAACAACACTATTCGTAAAGCAATAGATCGCTGCTATAATGCGAGTTACCAAAAAATCGGATATTTCGTGGCTGACCACTGTGAGCCATTATCTACTATAATAGAACGTACGTATAACATCATGTAAAAGATAAATTTTTGTAAAGTCATTAACGCAGACCCGACCGTCCACGTAACGAGGATATATATTTTCATTTTGTAAAGAAAAAAAGAAGAGGCGCTATGTTGTAATTGACGAAAAAAAAAAAGATAAAAAAATTTCGAAAAAAAAAAAGTCATACGAAGTCTCGAGTGCTTCTGCGAGACGATCGCGAGTGTACAAGTGTCCGGCATGCATATTAAGATGACTGTAATTAAATAGGCCAATTTTATCAAGTATAAGGATGTAAAATTTTGTAAAGTTTCCTTTTCTTCATTTTTTTTTTTTTTTTTTTTTTTTTTTCATATCGTACCGTTTACTGTTGCTTTACGCGATTAAAACAAAAAATACGTGTCGGTTACTGTTTGCGCAAAAAGGACTAATGAATTCTTAAACCTACGTGAATATATCGAGTTGTTCTTTTTTTTTTCTTAAAATTACATACGATGAGCGTACGTCGGCTGGTTTTTGGAAAAAAAAAAAAATGAAAACCATCAATTTCTCTGTTGAGTTTTGAGAATGATTTTTTGAGTTTTTAATTTTCACGGACACCGTTACAGAATTCGTATGTAATCGTCATTATTAAAATGAAATTTAATGATTTTTTAATTGCGTCTCATTGAGGCTAATTTTACGTGATTTCGTAATTAAGACGATACGCTAATTAGCCATCTCATCCGAGCCTTGTAATAATCAGTGTTGCGAAATTACGTATGTTCGCGAATTTCAGCGTATGCGAAAATAGAACAAGGATGCGTATGCATGCGAGAGACGTTATTGTGTGGTGGGGAAAAAAAAAAGCGAGGATACATTAATTACGAGAAATTTTTATTTTTATGGAAACGAGGCGACGTACGTTAATCAACAAAATCTAGTATAATCGGAGTTAATGAACTTTAAAAAATTTCCCAATGAAACCGATCACCAAAAAAGTTAAAAGAAAAAAAAAAGTGAACGACTCGATAGTTTGCGCCACGGATGAAAGTAAAAAAGAAATTTGAAAGAAAAAGGAATTATACACTTTATTTCCTAGATAAATAAAAATAATCGAAACGTATAAACGATTGAACACTAAAAAAAAAAAAAACGTTCGGACCAGTTCGCGTCTGTCTTGAAGAAGATGTAGTGATGTAAGAAAAAAAAAGAAAAAAAGAAAAAATTTTGAAAAATAAAAAAGCAAGCAACGCCGACTCAATTCCTTGGTACAACGAGATATGTAACCTACGTGTGATACAGCGTTTAAGATGATGAAAAAAAAGAAAATAATTTAAAGAAAATAAAAAAATGAGATAAAACAATATCTAAGAATTAAATTCTCATGTAATATGCGCGTGTTTACAGGGTAAAAAAAAAACGACAGAAAATCGTGTGACTTGATTCGCAGTCAAATACGGTGTTTTGCATGTGGTTTAAACAGTTAATAAAGCAGGTGTTAATTAACGTGTAAATCGTCTAAATGTACAAGAGAAATAATTGGTGGCGTTTTAAAGAGTCTTGCATCGGGTTGAAAAAAAAAAGAAAAAAAAATAATAACGGTATCACCGTACAGGTATCATGGTCGAATTATATCTTCGCGTTAATAAGCTCTAATTGATCGTTAAGAATATTGTCCTCGTTAAGAAAAAAAAAAAAATCGATTAATTAATCGCGACTAAGAGGCACGTTTATTGTCATAGAGACACGGTAAGTTTTCTTTTTTTTTTTTAGTTTTTCACATATACATTATTTTTACTATAATTTAACACACTCCACTCGATTTTCAGATAAACCCTGATTTTTTAATTCGGCAGGATCTTGAACGATGATAACCGCCATTGTTTTTTTTTTTCATTTGCGAATTTCTAATTCGCGTGACACACTGTGACAGATGTAAAAGTTGAAGACGGTGCTTAAATTATAATTTTTTAAATCCAAAATTGCACCGTTCGTTATGAAGTCAAAAAAGCAAGTTTAATTATTCAAAAATTAAAATATACACACGATATCTGTATAGTATATACATATATATCAAGTAAAAATTTATCAACGCAACTGAATGTTTTGGTACAAATTTGAAAAAAAAAAACGTTTCAAGCTTTTATCTTCGTCACGGTCTAAAATCTGTGGGTTTGAAAAAAAATTGTGTTGGGTATATTTATGTAAGTGCGTAAAGGATACATATATACATATATATACCCACGTGACTACCGTACGATTTCACTACAGGCGCATCATTCGAATTTGAAACACTATGGTGAACCAGAGCACCTCAGCTTCAAATTAAAAAAAAAAAAGATAAAGAAGAAGAATGCGCGTTAACAATTATTACGAATGATAATGCTCACGTTAACACGTAGATATAGATGCTAACGTCATTTTCAAATTTGAAGTACAATAGCATCGTTTACGCAATAAATCGCCATAGCCGCCATAGAGTCTTAAAGACTTTCATGATATATTAAAATTCATATTTTTTCATTTCCGTCTAAAAAGGTATTTTCGAGTCACGAGTCAAAATTAGGCAAACTGTATACACGAAAAAAAAAATTTTATTTTCAAAAATCCGCTTCCTACGGTATTACGTAAAATTCGAAAAACCATGAAATAATGAATTTTGCCTGACACAAGTTCACGCGACGCGTCAATCACGTCGCCCGATAAAAAATTTTTGTTTACCGATAAGAAAATGGATTTGGGCTCGTGACAAGAAAAACAAAAAGAAATGGAAACACGTGTAGCTCCGAGATAAGACATGTTTATATTTTGAAAAAAGTAAATCGCTATCTCAAAAGGATACAGAAGCATATAGCTCCATACGGCAGATAGAAATTTTTCAAAAAAGAAAAAACCGGAGTCGAGTGCAACGCCACAGGCACAAAAAAAACCAAGGGGTCCTTGTACGAGATAGTGTTGATGTAATTTCTACAAGATCAAGCGACGATTGCTGACGTTATTGGCTGATGCGTAAATAAAATAAAAAAGAGAAACAGAAGGAAAATTCGCGACGACGAATAGAACGAAGTCCGGCCGAGACGGTTTTTTGACTATAAAGAAATTTTGACTTTTTACTTTCTCGTTTTGCGTCGACGGTTTAATCGCTGCGTTTATGCGTTTCTCTTTTTTTTTTAATACTAGGAATGCGTAAGATTTAGAGAAATACCCCGGGTTACACTCACTGGCTGATAAGCTCGAATTAAAAAGATTGACGTGATTGGTCCCTGTCAATTAAGCGATTGGCGTATTGGTCCAGACCGAAGATTGGGATTGAGAGAGTGAGAGAGAGAGAATGAAGAGTGTCGAGAGAGAATGGTATAGGTACGGAGTGAAATTTTTGAAAAAAAAAAATTAATGACGAATGAAACGCTGCAATACGGACACCCGTTAGAAAATCGTCGAATACGACCTACCGGGTGTCGCGCAGTTAGGGTGCGTGTATCTAATGGAAAACAAAAGAGAAGTGAGTGTAATCCACGTACTTGATTCGTTGAGCGATCGGGAATTTTCCATGTAATCGCCAGTGCGCATGCGCGTCGGATCGTACGAATAAAGTCGTCACCGCGCAGTCGATCGACAGTCGGATTTTAAATCTTGCGATTTTCAAATCCGCGCGCGCTCAACGAGCCAAGGGAACGATGTGTCTGTGATTAATCAGAATCGATTGATGAATTCGATTATAATTAATTCGTGATTGAGTAGCCAATAATTAATAACTAATAGTAATACCGATTAACGATATCTAATGTAATTATGCTCCAAGTTGAATAATACGCAAAGGCGCGAAAATTGAGGTTTCATTATGTAGTTAAAAATACCGAATTGGCTTTGATATGCTGATAGGCGATAAGATAACCGATAAGTGGGACATAGGAAGAGTCTCTTTTTTGAATTGTAAAATGATGACGGCGAGGACGATGACGATGTTGATTATGATAATGACGACGATGATGACGATGATGGTTACGACGACGATTATATCGTAATCGATTACGATGACGATCGATGGGTAAACGAGGAGGTTAAGGGTCACGTGGAGAGATAAAAAAAGATTAATGAAAACAATTGATAACGTACGCAATGGGGAATTAAGGCGTAAGCAGGTCGTAAAATTAAGAAAGTAGGATCTCGAGGGATTTTTTCATACGGAGTTTAGATTCGATGTGGCGAAACTTTTATATATATAATACGTGTAATCGGACGGCGCGTGGGGTTTTCGATTGATAATGAATAAACTCATTTATTAAAGGATAAATTAATTGTCTACTGAATTCATTAGATGCTAAGCGAGTTCATTGAGTATTTTTATTCAGTGTAAAATTATGTATATCGTCGAACGATTTATTATTGTACTATGACGCCTATGTCTTACGACTAATTGAAAACGCAGTGATCATGCCTTATAAAATCGCAGTGAAAGTTTGATTGTAAACGATCGTTTGGTTATGGGTTGTAATTAAAAAGGAAAAGAAAAAAAAAAAGAGTGAATTTTCAAATTTTAATTAATCGTACAGTTTTTTAATACTCGCATTACCTGCGCGTAATGATGTACGTATAATTTGGTTTAAAAAAAATTGTTTACAGTCATTTCCGAATGATCGAACTTTTATTGCGCTTCATAGAAAATAACCTAAAGACGGACTGCTTCTCAAGTCAAATTTTATGAAATAAGGTGTGAAGGGCGTGGTAAATTGATATAAAAACGAAAATTCGAATGAGAATATTTATATGGTATTAATGAGTGTATCGCGTTTTATCAGCCGTTTCGAAATTTTCAATTTTTTCGCGAATATCCATTTGAATTGAGAAGCCGCACTAGCTATGGTACATATACAAGAAAGCAAAAAAAGGAAAATAAGATACAAAGAAAAGTAAACAGGACAAACAACAAAAACAATTATTATCGTCGTGTTTAAATATATGGAAAAAAAAAAAACGGTGGTTATGGAATAAACAAGACGCAACAATGTTAATGTGTGTAAGCAGTAAGGTGTACCAAGACAACACTAATAAAATTGTTGCAAAATAAATGAGGATTTTTCTGTCACTTCATTTCTTTATCCCTCGCGCAAAAAGAAAAATGAAATTTGATAGGTGAAAATTGCCGAGCAAGCGAGTCAAGTTGAACATCTTTTTTTTTTTAAGGCTTCGACCAATATCGTATCTTTGAAATGCGGTGCACTTTCAAGGCTTCTTCGTTTCGTAATGTCGTATTTATTGCGAAATGTCAATAACTATAATTCTTTGAAAAGTCTATTTGACGATTACGCAAATGGCAGTCAGTTTTTTACGGATCGTTGAATAATCGAGGTACCGCCAGTTGCACAATCAAATATGTATTATCGATTATAGCTTATAATACAGCTGATCCGCGAGTGAAATAATTGCTTTGTTTTGCATATCGAACGAAAATTTTATTCTTATCAGTTCACGCTTGATTTTGTATTACGAAGTGTAATGCAGATATTATTTAACTTAAATTTAATATTGAATTATAAATGTTGTGACTGACAGTCTACTGATAACGTTGCAGATGTATAGTTCCAAAATTTACCGCTTAAGGAGGCAGCACTTGTTAGAGGATACGTGAGACGCTATTTTTTCGATATAAAAATCGTTAGATACTCTTTCGCTTCGCGTGTTCACTTTTGCAAACTCATTAAGTTAAATCCATTTAGCAGTCACTCTCTAGTGAGTGACAACGTTGACTGAAGATAAGGAGACTAGAAATATTACAGAAATTGGTGTTACTCGAGTCTGAGTATTGTTACCATATGTAGATCGACTTACTTCTGTAATGGTAACGTAGAGCAGTGTATCGACAGTCGGTAAGAGCGTTAGGGAAGCATAATTAATCAATTATATAATTATACGTGCGAAACGTCAATTCTTAATTATTGCACCACGTCTCAAAGTACAATGTGTGCAATATTTCTGCAAAAAATAGGTAGAAGCAACAGAGGAAGATTTTGCTTAATTTATTCATACAATAGACAAGAACTAACATCTTGCTTTCAAAAAAATATACCGTTCATTGGTATTTTGTTTAATAGTCAATACAAAAGTCTATATCATTATACGGTAACACCCAGTCTTATATGACACTAAAACTCTTTTCTATTTATTTTCAGTCAACTCTATCATCCACAATCACTTGTTCTACGCCAACGATTCTACCATACTATTACATACCTATTCCCAGTTTCCTACGGAATTATCCATTAGGTGCTGTCCTCTGCTAGTAATTTAAATATTTTAGTACTGCTAGGTATGTCTTCCGTAGACGGTTCATTAATTTCTTTTCATTACAACATTTTCTTCTGTGAATTATCAGTAGATACGCACTGCGGTCCTACATTTATTGTTTTTATGATCGTAACGGCACGGATTAACTGACAATTATTTCTGATTTCAATTACAAGCATTATGGAGACGATTGCTTGTTCGTCTTTTTCAATAATAGAGTTTATAGATCGGATGGGACATAATGTGACGTTTTCTTATACAGGGTGCGCTGTATAATTTCAGCGAATAGTTTCGCACTTAAAGATCAGGTAAAATAAACAGGAAATTAAAAAAGAGCAGATCAATAACGATGTTAGTTGCGAATTTCGTATTTCTCGTGGAAACGAACTTTGTCCAGCTACTTCGTTTCTGTTGGCGCAAAAAACATATAAATCCAGTCTGCTGATTGTCAGGTGAGCCATAACATTTTAAAGTGCCGTTTTTCATTTATATACGAAAGCATCGATAAAATGGATCGTTTCCCGAAACACGTAGCTGTCACGATAAATGTGTAAATCAAAAGAAACGGCATACCTATTGCATATGCGGCATTATATATGTATATCCCAGAGACTGCACTCAGCGACCATCTCATCGAGAAGCCGGTGGCCAGAGTCTTCTTACAGTAACAAACACAATAACAAATATTGCAAAAATCTAGTCTATACATATCTAAATAATAAATTCATTGCTACGAAACGGCACGTCACTAACGACGAGCAAGGCGTCTACGCAGTCCGTGCCATCTAGCGGCGAACCGTCGAAACCGATAGTTCGAAAATAACGACAACGAAGCTGAGAATTTCCAGCAGCTGTATTAAGAGGCCTTGTACGTTTTGATTGAGTGGAATAATTTTAATAATTTTTCGTTTGCTCCATTCGGAAAAGTCCAATCATGTGCCTCAAATAAAAGTTTGCTGTGTATCGAATAATTTTCAAGATGTTTACTATTCGTCTCAAGAGTGAAGTTCGACTCGGATACATTTGAATTGGCCGAGCCCCTCGTTCTCGGCTCTAGTTTCGCCCTGAGGCTTCTGATATCTATATGGACCACTAGACGCACGTGGTACATTCTAACAAGGTGAGAGTGAGAGTAACAGTTTGTTCCATTGATAATTTCATTGGTATCAGAAGGCCATACAGACCATTCGATTCGCAATGGGTACGTTATGGCCGCGGGCTAAGAACTAGCAGACATGTCGGCGTTTCGGGTATCTAACCTTCTTGCCTTTTCTTTTCTCGTTCTCTTTGAGAGTATCCATTGTGACTAGACGAATTAAAATGGAAGTGAACGAGGCGTGACGTATCGGTAAGGTGATACTAACTGGTTTTTTACTTGCTCGAAGTGAAAATCAATGATTTATATCTTATTAGCAATGAGAATTGCTCGTATTTGTTTTGTGCCATTGGCTGCAGTGCAAAAAGTGTGTAGATCATCGTGTTACGTAATTCGAGTAATTCATTTACTCGTTACCTGTCGGATCTTATGGATCGATTGCATAGTAATGCTGCAGTCAAAAAAAGGTAAGGTATCATTCCCATTTCTTTTAAAAGCAGTTACGTCGATTTTAACGACTGATCGGTGGATTCTGATAATTTTCGACCTCATTGGATATTCGTTGTTTACGGAAAAAGATAAAAATAATACCGAGCAGCAAGTAAAATAAATACACGTGAAACGAGGATAATTATCGAGTAACGTAACGCGTATAACGAGTACTGCAGAAATTACAGATAACTTTATTCAGCTAATTGTTTCGTATTACTAATTGACGTATTTTTTTATGAATTATTAATGATACGAGTCAAACATTGATAAACTATTAACGTCTTACCTGCTCTACGCTTATATTTATCGTCGAAAACATCAAACAGCGATATCAATCGAATATTCGAATACATGCTAAGACTTTAATTGCGAATTATTAAAATGTTCAAAGATTATAAATTATCGTATTTGGTCTTTAAAAGAGACGTAGGTGATCCGTATCAGTATTTTTCAGCAACATTTCATATTCCCTCATATTTTAATACGAGATGACGTCAATCACTTGTTATTCACAACCGACATCCTATACATATAATTGAAAACAAATTAAACTGTAACGAAAGAATTTAAGGGAGCAAAAATTTATGAATCCCCAATAAACCCTCGTAAAATCGTCTTCCTGGGGTCTCTTGATATTACGTAAAATCTAAAGCATCACAGAGCAAGGAAAACAAGCTCGGAAATTTGTTTACCCGAGAGATATCGGAGATAAGTTAAATTTTTGTGAGCAGCTCGCGGGGTGTTTGCGGTTTGAAAATGGAAACTGGGAAATCAGGTGAACAAAGGACACTCTGTAATCAGCAATGGACGTGGGGTCCTTTAATCTCGCATTCGTCGACTTTATCCCTAGCAGTGATAACTGGATCTAACGGAATTCAAATTACCACGTGTGATGTAACAAGCGCGGATACTTGCTTACACCAATAACATTAACACGTGGCGCACGTAAATGAGTACTGACAGCTGTCATTAAAAAGAGTCAATTTACCGGATCGAAATAATTGTCAAAATGTAAAATCCACATATGCCATATGATACGCGTCATTTATGAAGGAAAAATTTGGCCGTTTGTCAAATTCACAAGAAAACAATAAATTCAACCATGACAATGAAGTATTTGAGAATTATTTAATTTTTTTCAAAATTTTCAATATTGTGTCACCTGCACGATTAGTCAATGGCCTTCGCACTTTGATAAGCGTATTGAAGGTCTGTCCTTTTTGCGTTCTCTTGCGGGGATAAAGTACAACGAGTTTTCTTAACAGTTTGCATCGATGGTTAATATCAAACTCGTGACGAAAATGACGAATTATCTCGGGTCAGTAAGCCGAGCAGTTTAATACGCGTGTTTGGAAATTAGGTCATCGACATATTCATGCTGTCCGTAAGTTACGTACAAGACGTTGATACGTAAAAAAAAATTTTCAATGAACCAGGAAATTTTTTTTTCAGTTTTTTTTCTTGTTTCACTAGACGTTATCAACAAACTTGATTAGCATTGTAAGCGTGAGAAACGTGGGTGCCAATGAAAGATTTGGACAAGGACTCAGCATTACAAATGAGGCGTCCTTGAACAATCGCTTGGAGCTGGATTCGAATCGATACGTCGACAGAGGTATAAAATCTTCCCGTAAGTAACATGCTCCTGCTTCCGTGATGACTTCCGGTTCTCCTACCCCGCCTATCGATGAAAAATTTATCAAGGCTTGCGAGCATGTGGATCGTTTGGGACTTTTTGTCTTCAAAATTTCAGTATCCGAATAATGATTGATAATTGATATAAAATTTATTGCTTTTATTAATTTTTTTTATCGATCGGTATTCTCGATTAATTTGTAACCTACCTGCCTTAATTTGGAAGTCCGCTGTACGTGTAAAATGCCGGCAGCCATTTTGTAAGAAAGTATAAATTTTGATGGAGAAATTGATTCTTTGGAACGTGACTTTGAAAATGTTCTAAAAATATTAAATTCAAATTTTTGACGTTTCAGGTCTTTTGGGTCTTCTGGTGCGTCTAGCGTGCATCCTGGGACAAGCATTACGCAGCAATTACCATAAAACGCTCGTGCTGTTATGTTGGCATCCTTGAGCCAAATATCAAATTATGAGACGTCTGGCTCGGATACAATGAGACAAGACCTTTCCCGAAGCGATGCATCTTGGGTAGCGACGGAAGAAGGCCGCCATGTTGGAACAGACAGTTGTCCCTAAGGAATTCGAACGGTTGAAATTTTGTGTTTCAATGTTTGCCCAATGAGTTCCTTATAGGGGATTTCTCGTCCCCACGTATTTAAACATCACGGTATACATACCCATATAATAAGTTACCATTATAAAGTCCGTATGACGGAAGTTAAAAAGAAATTTCCTAAAAAGTTTTCCCTGCCAAATTCACCAGGCACGAACCGCGAAGACGTCTCGTTGGCCCTTGATCCCGGCGACTTTTTCTTACGTTTCGGCTCGTTCGATCCATCGGCGTCGCGACGACACACCCAATATCATAAATTTCTCAGTGCTACTCGCATTGCAGGCTTAAATACAAATATCGACAAGCTATACGTAAGAACCACTTGGCTACATAGAACCAGACCGCCTTTATCGTTTGAAACTGTCAACCGTCGTATGGCCTGACGCAAAACGTTATTTTATTTAATTTCTCCGAATTCTCATAATCAAATACTCAATATACATATACAATCCAATTACGTATCCCGTATTGTCGTTAATATCGATACAATTGTCTAAAATTATAACTTTGATATCATAACCTACGTCACGTTGCTACCTATGGACACAGCCAATACAGTGCGCGCGCACCCGTCTGAAGTTGGCTGCGTTCGATTCGATTTCCACGTTGCAGCCAACTTCACGTTGATACCCCCGTACTCGGCCAAACTTCTTTTTCCCATGCAACTGAATTTTCAATCGATTAAAATTCATTGCAATAACCAAACTCCGTGACAATTCCAACCCGAACAATACCGATGATGCCCGAACAGCCGTCGGGGCACTTCCAAACGTTGCTTTACGCTTCCAATCTTTCCATTGCTCGTCCCGTGAACGTCCACATTCCAAAGCTTCACTGCCGATACAACCAACATGGCAGATATTGATATTGGATTTGCCGAGCACAGAGAACCACGCAATTTCACAAGTCAGTCAACAGAAATGTAAAAAGGTACGTGTAGTGTCGATCGGATAATGAAAGAAGAATGGATTAATTGAAGAAAAAAAAAAAAAAAATAGTTTATTTTATACAAAATACATCCGAGGGATAACAGTGAAAGTTTTTTAATAATATAATAATACTAATGGAAAAAATTCACTGGCTACCGTTATTTTTTTACATTTCCACTATTTTCAATATATTTTTAAAAATTTTTCTCCGTCCCTCACTTTTATTCCTCGCAATCATTACTCGCCCTCTCTCTCTCTCCCACTCACGCAATCATACGATCGTCATACACGCGACATACACACTCGCCGCTAAATTCTACATTCTGTTTACCTAGAGTTAATTCTAATAGCTAATAACGTCTATGTTATGCAATAAGTTAGCGTACGTTCAAGTGGTCATAATTATTGGTACGTGCAATAAATATACAAGTAATATCACAATTTTACGTCCTTGGGACGTCATTTCGTTTATCTACTATGTCGCAAAACGGATGGTCTGCATGTTAAACGTGTGTCGTGTATAGGTATTCTATCTTCATATATATATATATTTACAATCGCTCTTGTCCAATACAATTTTTCATTACATAATTTTTTTTAAATTCTCGTATCCCTAGTCTTTTTCCGTCTCATTGAATTCGATGGAATGCAGGAATTTTTACTGTGAGAAAAAAGCTTCTAGCACCGATTACATATCGCTCGCGATCGGTTGCTCGTTCGATAACGCGAATTGCAATTATTTTAGACGCGTCGTAAAATCGCGTTAGGGAAATTGACGCCGGAGAGAAAAATAAGTGGGAAAGACGTAAACGAAAGTATTACGCCATTTCGTGTTTTAAGTGCGCCAATGGTCGATAGGGTATACAGGATTGCCAGTTATTTCTTTCTTTTTTTTTTTCATATTTGTTATACCGGAAATAACGCGAAGGATTATTTTATTTTTAATTAGTTTTTTTTTTACACGTCAGCCAATCAGGTGTATGTATTTCCGTTCGATCGATTGGCATAACTAATGTATTAGGAACGTTATTGGGAAACAGAAACGATTTCTTTTTCGTTAAAAATGTTTTTCCGAGTAACCGAAAGGATATCACTTAGCATCGTGTGTGTATATATATATATATATATAATTAAAAAATAAATGGAACGCAAGGAGTCGCTATAAAAAAGGCACTTTTCGAAAAAAAAAAAAAAAAAAAAAAAAAAA